AAGAAGAAGAAGAAGAGTTGAAATTAATGCATACAAGATTTCAAAGTTCTAGAATCACTCCTTTATAATTAGGGTCTTTTTAGTCTACCCCCATACCTGTACACTTAAGACTGGTTAAACTGAAACATATCTTCTGGATGTTGTAATTGTATTTACTGCCAGTGTTGATATAATGTGCTAATCGTGCAATCTTAAAAAAAAACATGTTCAAGTAATTTAGAAATTGCATTCAATTCAGAAAATATCTAAACATTAACGTTGATGAGAATTTTTATCTTTACGTTTAATCATTTTATAATCATTTTATAATCATTTTATAATCATTTTATAATCATTTTATAATGTTAATCTAAATTAAAAATAAAATTAAAGATAACACTTTATCTGCTGCTTTTCTGGCTTCCAATAACTGAAAACAGATTCTAATAAATGAAATCCATTTTAGAATAGACATATATTCATACATATCTAATTTCAAAATTATGCTTATCTATATCTTCAATAATAAAATAATTTCTAGTATAAACCATTTGAAGTATTTCAATCACGTCAACATACTACTTGTCCTGAATCAAAATTATGTTATACAGAAAGAAAGAAAGAAAGAAAGAAAGAAGTGCTTACATAGATTGATAGATAAATAGACAGACAGAAATACTGAGATAGATAGATAGATAGATAGATAGATAGATAGATAGATAGATAGATAATGAACAGAATTAAATAGATAGATAGAAAATGAACAGAATTAGATAGATAGATAGATAGATAGATAGATAGATAGATAGATAGAAAATGAACAGAATTAAATAGATAGATAGATAGATAGATAGATAGATAGATAGATAGATAGATAGGAAGAAAAAACTCAGGTAGATTGATAGGAAATAACTACATCCAGTCACATATCAATTGATATGCATTGATCCCACCTAACAATTAATAACATGTATTCTGCAAGAATAACTTGGGTTTCCACAATCAAAATACAAAAATGAAGATCAATCGTCATAAAATTAGTTCAGTCTGGTTACATCATATCAAATATAAATCCATTCATTCTCCCTATCTATGAGTTAAATAGTAAGAACTGTATCTATAAAAAGCATTATTATTATTATAAAAAAATTTAATGTCATATTCAATAGCAAAAATATTCTTAGAATCCAAAATATGTTTTGACCTTTCAATACCTCACAAAGGGTTGATTAGCTGAAAAAAAAATCAACCAATCAAAAAGTATCTATCCCAAGGGATGATGAGAGTTCCTCAACAGGTAAGGTCTAGGAGAGTTGTAGGAGACCAACTATTTCCCCGTCTTATTGCAAGTTTGAATAATGAAAGTTACCTTTCTATGTTGCACCTGGACGTGCATTCACACTTTTCCTTATCCAAAACTCGTTGTGCCATCAAGTCTAGAGATAATAGTCTGTTTTACTTTTTTTATTGCAAGAGCTGAAAAGCGGAGAGTAAGAAGTGAATATTATGAGGATATGTAGACTAGATAACGGCTGACCCTATATTTGAAGAAATTAATATCGTAACGATCGAGGAAGCATTCTCTCGGGAGTCTGTCAATCGAGTGAAAACTTCCTTCTTACCAGTAAAATACAAATGGAAGGAGGAATATTCGACACTGTATACATGATATGGCGGGTCCTTGCTGTTGTCGTGTCCATTAAAAATAAATAAACAAAAATTAATGATAATGCCGCAAATAATGATGACAAAATAATTATAATTATCATTAATACAATTCACTCTTTCTGAACCAATGAAAATCAACCGCACTCTTCTCCTCTACCAGACAGAAACACGTGACACCCTCAATATCGGACAGCCAATGAACACATGTGTTGACCAAAATTTCGACTGCTTTCTTTTTCAGGACAAAACGATAACATTTGTCCATTCTGAAAACTCGTAACCAAAATTCCAGCTAAGAAAACACCAGACCTATATTTTTCGCAACTAAATTATCAGGGCCCTCACTACATGCTTTATATAAAAAATATAGAAGAAAAACTTGCGGGTCGAAGACGGAAATAAACAACAAGCCAGTCATTCATCAAGCTACACTCTACATCACTAAGCTACGTGATATGTACACTATTCCTCGCCAAGCTAGGTTACACGTACACTCTTCAAGCTACGTGACATTTACACTCTTCTTCATCAAGTTAAATAATATTTACACTCTTCGTCATCACGCTACGTGACACTTACACTTTCCTCCTAACTTTCTTCCTTGCCTCTTTTTCACGCATTTCTTTTCATCTTAAGAAGTACAATTAAGGAACTATAACACAGGAACCTTAACACTCGCACATGTTGAGAAAAATTTAGTTGTAAGAACGCAAAATTAAAATAAATAGTTTATATTTTTATATTTAAAAATCTTTCCCGCCTTTTATCTTTGTTGTGAGTTGCTTCAAATCTGCAACAGACTATATAAGATTTACTCAGTATTACTGTCTTTCGCGCCTCTAACACCACATAATAGTTATGTGCGATGCATGATACATGCTTAGACGATCATGTACCTTTCGATACATGACTGACGAGGCTGATCTTTTCCCGCAGTAGGGTGCCATTTCTTTCTGCGGTGGACTAGTTGCCATCCATTAGAATGCGATCTGTCCTGCTATTTATCCATAGCTGTGGGGAGAAGAAAAGGATTCATACCTTTCCCAAGTGAGTGAATGTAATGGATTCAACTGGAATCGGCTCTCCGATTCCTCAATCCGAGACGCAATCCATTGTTCCACCGTGCTTCCTAACAGCACATAACAAACGTATAACAAACAATACTTGTTTTGTTGTTTTCACGTCTTGCTGTTTATCATTTTCTACAAGTTTTTTTTTGTATGCATAAATGTTAGCGGATTTATAATTATTTTCCAAAATTATCACACTCCTACACTGTGAAATTTTGAAATGGGGTAACTCAGTTATGTAGCTCGTCTGAACATGTGTCATGAAAATAGCGTTAAACTAAACTTAACTTTTCGACTGTGGGCAATGGGTTGTAGTGTGGAAAATAAATCATCACTTACAAAGCTGCGAAATCAGTTTTGAATTCTATCAAGGCTGGAAAGTGATGATTGGGCTGCACCATCTATCTAAAAACAAAAACAAAAAAAGAAAGCTTAAGAAAATCTTACGTGAATATGATGAAACTAGTAAAGAAATATATTTCTCAGAGAGAAAAACTTAGAACAAATAACTGGCGTGAGCAATGATGGAAACCTTTTAATCTGTTCCAACCGAGGCTGCGATAAGCAGGGAAAGGACAATATGGCGGATGATTACATATGGAAGTAAAAATGATAAAGTTCGGGCATATCTCGGAAATCATAATTTTCCTTCTTAGGACAAAATGATCATCATTTATATAGAAACACAGAAAAGTCATTAGCAAAGGACATTCTGATTTAATTAAAGTGGCCAAACTGGTTATTTACATAGCTGATTGTTCTGTAATTGGAAATTCATATTTATTTAAAATTTTACCGTTTTAGGAGAATCGTGTTAATTTTCTTTCTTTTTTACGTAACATGTTTTGATGTGATCCACATTATGGGAAAATGTAAAATGTTGTTTGAAACATTTTACATTTTTTCCTTTGACGTAACACAATTTTCTACCTCAATATTTTCCAATTACGCTGTAGGTTAGATAAAACAACAAACCGAGATAGATAAATACACGAATAGATAAGGTGGGGAGAGATACTACCTTAAATAAATAGGGTCTATGTGAGATAGAGAGAAAGTGAGATACTGACTTAAACATATAAGAACAGATAGATAGATAGATAGATAGATAGATAAATAGATAGATAGATAGATGTGAATACTGAAATGGGATAGGTATACTGAGATAGATAGATAGATAGATAGATAGATAGATAGATGAATAGATAGAATACTGAGATAGAAATACCTACATACTGAAATAGATAGATAGATAGATAGATAGATAGATAGATGGAAATAGATGGATGTTGAATACTTAAATAGATGGAATAATACAACCAGGAAATAGATAACAAAATAGATTGAAACAGAATAGATAGATATTTACATTAGTTTTGATATTCTTGGGATAGATGTTCTGATAATGGATAGATAAATCGCACAACTACTGGATAATTTCTTAATCTCTACATCTGGAATGGATAGATAGATAGATAGATAGATAGATATAGATGTGAATACTGAAATCATATAGAATACTGGGATAGATAGATAGATAGATAGATAGATAGATGGATAGATAGATAGATAGATAGATACAACTACTGAGATAGGAAATAATACAACATACTGAAATAGATAGATAGATAGATAGATAGATAGATAGATAGATAGATAGATAGATGTGAATACTGAAATAGATAGGAATACTGAGATAGATAGATAGATAGATAGATAGATAGATAGATAGATAGATAGATAAATAGATAGATACAACTACTGAGATAGAAATACCTACATACTGAAATAGATGGATAGATAGATGGATGGATGGATGGATAGATAGATAGATAGATGGATGGATGGATGATGAATACTGAAATAGATAGGAATACTGAGATAGATAGATAGATAGATAGATAGATAGATAGATAGATAGATAGATAGATAGATAGATAGATACAACTACTGAGATAGAAATACCTACATACTGAAATAGATAGATAGATAGATAGATAGATAGATAGATAGATAGATAGATAGATAGATAGATAGATGTGAATACTGAAATAGATAGGAATACTGAGATAGATAGATATGGATGGATAGATAGATGGATAGATAGATAGAACTACTGAGATAGATAGAAATACTTGGATGAAATGGATAGATAGATAGATAGATAGATAGATAGATAGATAGATAGTAAATGACTGGGATAGATAGATAGATAGATAGATAGATAGATATAGATAGATAGATAGATAGATAGATAGATAGATAGATAGAACGTATGAATCTCTTTATATATATGAAAATTTAATCTGAATTATTAAAGCCACTCTTTCATAATAATTTTTAATCACGTCCACAGATTGATGTATGGTAAAAAGAACAATAAATCTTACTAATAATACTTCGAAAAAAACTCATGAACTATTTTATTATTATTATTATTATTATTATTATTATTATTAATGTTATTATCTCTTCAACTTCGCTGTCAAATTCTTTCTTGCTCGACTAACAAGTGCAAATTGTGATCACAGAAGCGAGTCAGGAGATATGTAAAAAGAAAGACAATTTTACTTCTTAATATACCCCATGTGCCAACTGATAAAAATACGTCACAAAACAAAATTGCAAATCATCTTGCTCGAATCTATTATGTTCAGTCGTCTATTTATAATGCCATTATATTGAACACGTACTATTCTCAGTGTGTCTCATAAGTTGGTAGATACAATCACTTCATAAATGATTGATTCTCTTCTATACTTTTCTCTCCCAAGTAGACTTAAAATGTTTATGCGCGTTTGCGCGGGGCGGTTAACAACCTTAATCTTACTTTTCTAAAAACGAACTCGTCACTTTCAACGTGCGTGTTTTTATATTAAGTCTTTAAGCTTCGAGTCCATTCGTCCCCTAAATGCACAATTCATATATCTCAGTGTCTCTCCTCCATTAAGACGCAAATTGAACTCATGCAAGTTGAAAACGCAAAACGTTAAAAGGCTCTACGAAATTTGCATATAATAATAATAATAATAGCGGAAATAATGGATGTTCTTATAGTGTAATGTATAACGGCGAAGAAAAGTGGAATCGTTAAGAGAACAAACTTCAGCTTTGCCACTTACGTTTTTTTAATCATTTCACAATGGAAAGGCCACAGTCTTAACAGCCCAAAATGTCAACTACAATTTGAAGATCGTCCTGGGTATGATGATAAACTACATCCAGCAGCAATGCCTCTGGCAGATTTGAGGATTTGAGGAGCATGGGACCATCATCTCTTAGTTGCTGACTTAGGCTGGTAACACCTGTTGACGTCTTAGCAATGGGCAAATAGTGAACCCCCAAACAAACAAAAAAAAACACAATGAAAGTATAAAAATACATTTTTAAAGTAAAAATACCAGCAATACATTTTTATGTAAAAACAAAAATTGCTAACAATACATTTCATAGTAAAATCACCAACAATACATATTATCTGTAGTTGAAGGCATACAACTACGTTCAAAATATTTAGTTGAAGCCATAAAATTGTTCAAAATATTTAGATTTCAGCATTAAATAACCCAGATGTTTATAAACCACTAAAGAAAATCAAACAACCAATATCAAAGAACTGTTTCATGACATCAGACTATATTATATCCTAGAATTTCTTAAAAGAATCAAACTGTATTCCCAAATATAACTTAAACGAAACTACAACAAAAAATCCACCTATCACTCCTCTAGTAATTATGTCCACACAAAAATGTATATGTACAAAATCTGAGTATCATCTACCATGTATACAATTGTGAAAACCGAATAACATAAATGAGTTATAAGGAATTAATATGCTGTTAAAGAAGCAAAACAAATCGTACATTGCATCATACGTAGAGAGGGTGACGAGCACAGAATCATATTTTTTTTTTAATAATATATATTTCTGAGAAAACAGAGTGGCGGGAAAGAAACTCCTCATTGAAAATTAATTATATCTTCTGTTAATATCGCCACATTTTCATGTTACAAAATGTAATGTAATCACGAAATGTTTGTAGCCCAGAATGGCACAACACTAGGCACTACATGATCATAGTTAACTGGCATCCTGTTATGAAGTGTAACATTCCTTGTTACAATGCAATGTTCATAGACCTCATGTTACCGTAGATGCTAAACCATCAGAAATTGTCATTCCAAGTTGACGGTTACAGGAAATGTGGTAGGTACTCACAGATTCAGCGTTCAAACTTCAACATGCAGTTTGGAGGAAAATGTGAAAAAGCTGGAATTCTAACACTGTATTTTATTTTTACCATCATACCGTTCAGAATAAAAAGTTTTATGAAAACTGACCAATAATTAATAAGGTTATTAATTTTAAATATGGAGTTTCTTTCCGCTCACATTGCATATAATAAATGAGGGATCAGTAAGGTGAACTTTCTAACAATTGCTCTACGGACTTACTATACATTTCCTCGTGGACTACGTAAACAATATCCTATACATTTCCTTACCCATGTTCTATGAACTTTCAAACCTTTGCCTATGATATTACTTCCAGATAGATTATTACTCATCTTAATCTTGTACAAGAACTTCCTCATCACTCTGGCAAGATTGGGGCATTTATCTATCATTTTCAATGTTTTTGAAGGTGACTCTACGGGCCTTTAGAACAGCAAAATCGACTATCCGCCATGTTTGATTCGACTTATTTGGAATTCTTTGCATCCTCTTGTTAATTATTTCCTTATTGTTTATTCACTGCTTCTTGTTTATTCAGTAATCTTTTTGTTCTAATGATTTGCATGTGGTGAAGTGATTTTTTTAATCCAGTCTGCTTCACAAAGAAATTTTATAGAGTCTGGAGTTTTAACTCTTCACTTTCATTAAGTATTGAATGTTTTGGCTACTACTTATGAATGACATGTGTTATGGTGAAACACACCTCTTCTATAGTTAATAGACTCTCCCACCTAATATAAGTAGCAGTAGTAAGAGAAAGGGCAGAGTCTCGGAGATCCCACGTTAAACCGGCCTTGGGCCACATGATACCCTCGTGAGGGGCGGGTGACTAAATACCAGTCGATGTCGGACGACCGGCTGAACGGTTGAACTCTCTGCCTTCGGACGACCCTGAACTCGTTAATACAAGTTCAAAGGGTATATTTTTGGCCGAGTCCACGGGCTCGGAGATCCCACGTTAAACCGGCCTTGTGCCATATGACACCCTCGTGGTGGTGGGGGGGTGACTAAATACTAGTCGATGTCGGACGACAGTAGTCGACAGTTAGTCGAATACGAAAGTAGTCAGCGACCACAACAAGATTACCTGTAATACCTATTATATCAAATTCCTAACATTTGATACGTCGAACTCCACTTAGCAAAAATACAAATCCACTGCGAAATAACACCACAACAACATGATATCGGTCACCTGTACTCTGTGTTTCCGGTGGGTTAGATTCGTGTGCGAGTTTGTCAGATGCAGAGAGAATGCAGACAAAACGTTCAGCAGAAGAAAAGTATCGATGCATTTTATTTTTTTTTTCCCAGCTTCATTTTTAACCCGTTGAAAATTGTTCTTAAATTGTTTTTCTGCAAACCATTATCATTATTTTCTTTTGGCTTTACGTTCCATGTGATAATTTTTAATTAATACTTTTTATTTGCCGTCTTTCCCTATCTTTTTTTTTCTTTTGCTCTATTATGCCTTCCAGGAATTCCAAGAGCGCTTGTCATTCGCAGCAATTGGCAAAAGACGCTTCCTTCTTTCTTTGTATTTTTTGCATTGCTTCCAGGTTCTCCATTTTTCATAACGGTAACAAACTCCTAACAGAATTTATTAATGGCGAACACTATGTTAACAACATAAGATATGCAAATAACACAGTGTTGATAGTAGACACAGAAAGAAAACTTCGGGAACCCCTACAAGAGTTGGTAAAGGAAAATGAGAAGAAAAGACTATTGTTAGAAGACAAAACGTACGATTGTCAGAAATAGGAACATATTAAAATCAAGCAAGTACAAAAATTTTATTATCTGACAAGTGTTTTAACAGAGAACGAAAAATACAAAGTTACATTAGAATATTGGCTTAAAGGGATGATTACTAAGTAACATTGGCGATTCACTGTTTTGTCTTCATTTAGGTATATTATCAGGTCATCCCATAAGTTCTGTCCGAATTTTAACTTTTTGTTAAAATGAACGAAATTTAAAGAATATTTTATAATGTCCAATGAAGCTGAACATTATTTTTATGTTTAGATGCATTTAAACTGATCAAACTTTATTTCAGAGAACAATAAAATTAAATTTTGTTTGATTAAAACCCTGCTAACATGGAAGTACCCAAGAATCATTTGAGGCACATAATGCTTTATGAGTTCAAGAAAGGAAACTCAGCAGCCGAAGGGGCTATAAACAATCAATCAGATTATGGAGAGGAATGTGTGAATGAAAGAACTTGCAGAAGATGGTTTGCAAAATTCAGAGGTGGAGATTTCACCCTTGAAGATAAAGATCGAACTGGGTGTCCAGTTGGATTTGAAAAGCTTCTTGAAGCAGCCCTTGAAGAAAATCTTGCTTTATCAGAAGATGAATTGGCAATGGTTCTCAGTTCAAGCCATACAACTGTTCATCGTCATCTTCAACAACTTGGAAAAGTTCCTAAACTTGGAAAATGGGTGCCTCATGAAACAACCTCAAATCCCGAGTTGACATCACTCTTCTCTCCATTCTCGCCAACTTGTTTCACCTTTTTGGATAGACTTGTGACTGGTGAGGAAAATGGATCTTTTATCGAAATGTTAAGCGTCGTAGACAGTGGCTTGGTAAAGGAAAGGACCCCAGCCACAGCCGAGAAGTGAACTTCATGGGCAAATCTTCTTCTTTAAATCTGGTGTGATCGCCAAGGGAATAATCCACTTTGAATTCTACCACCTAATGCAACAATTAATGCTCAAATATACTGTCAGCAATTAGAGCGTTTGGACCAAGTTTTGAGGAAAAAATGACCTGCTCTAGTGAATCGAAAGAGGTGATGTTTCATCAGGATAATGCGCGACCCCACAGCAAGAATCACGTCACAAAAGATCGAAGAACTTGGTTGGGAAAAATTCCTCATCCACCATATTCTCCCGATCTTGCTCCTTCAGACTACCATTTGTTTCGTAGCTTACAGAATCATTTGGAAGAAACAGCCTTTGTAACACAGGAAGAGGTTAAAACTGACATTTGTGAGTTCTTCGAATCAAAGCCAAAAGAACAGTAATAGAATT